AGGTTAATTAATGAGTTAATTAATTACCTAGGCCCCGACGAGTGATCACCCAGCAAGTGCAGCCCGTCCAGGCAAGTGAAACCCGTTCTCCTTTGTTGTAAAGTTTCAAAAAAGTAATCGAAATTGTTTTCTCTTTGTTTTACGTGCAGGAGGAGGTGCAGACGATTGTCGCCCGACAGGTGCAGGGCAATGTCCAGTCTCTGGGCGGTCTTGATGGCGGATCGGCGGCTGGCATCGGCGGCGGAAACCTCGGTCTGGGCGGCGGTCTGGGCGGCGGTCTCGGCGGCGGAAACGGCGGTCTCGGTGGTCTCGGCGGAGGACGAGGCGGTCTGGGCGGCGGTCTCGGTGGAGGTCTCGGCGGAGGACGAGGCGGCCTCGGTGGATCCGGCGGCGGTCTGGGCGGCCTCGGCGGCGGCATGGGCGGCGGCTACNCCCGACAGGTGCAGGGCAATGTCCAGTCTCTGGGCGGTCTTGATGGCGGATCGGCGGCTGGCATCGGCGGCGGAAACCTCGGTCTGGGCGGCGGTCTGGGCGGCGGTCTCGGCGGCGGAAACGGCGGTCTCGGTGGTCTCGGCGGAGGACGAGGCGGTCTGGGCGGCGGTCTCGGTGGAGGTCTCGGCGGAGGACGAGGCGGCCTCGGTGGATCCGGCGGCGGTCTGGGCGGCCTCGGCGGCGGCATGGGCGGCGGCTACGGTGGCGGACGAGGCGGTGGAAGCGGTGGATACTAAGCAGCCTTGCCTACTAGTACTCATCACCCCTATTTATTGCCTATTTATTATTGACACGCCCACCAGCACCCAACCAACCACACAAAAATCTACCTTCGATTCTTCTTAAAAGCTGAAACTGTTTTGCAAAAAAAAACTTAATAAAAGAATCCTTTTGAAAAAATAATATTCAACACAGTTTGTTTAAAAAAGTCTGCGGTTGTGTTTGTCTGTCTTGTCTGGTAAGCATTAAATACTTCTCAGTCATCTATTTTGGTCAAACTTGGCAAAAAATCACATAACAAAGCAAATGTAAATTGTTTGTATTCTTTTAGGAACGCTACCATTTTCTTTGCAAAGCACAGCCAAAGGTACAAGTTTTGACCCGGTTTTGGGGTTCCACGCAAATATTTACATAATTAGTAATTATGGCAATTTTAGCTTTCAAAAGATGTGCAATTTAATAAACTTTGAATATACAAAAAAAGTTTGAAACAACTGTCCAAGTGATATTCTTGTCACTCTTTGTTGTAAGCAACTTAACAACTTGAGCAATCTTTCAAAAAAAACTGTCATCAAAAAAGTTTTCAATGTAAAGGGCAATGATGGTGATGATAATGAGGGGAAAAAGCTGCTGTTGCTGCTGCTGCTGATTCAGTGGCACTGATAAGTGACACGTCGGATAGGTGACAAGTGCGTCCGGAGTACTTTTTGCATTATGCAAGCACACAGCTTTGTTTCACTTGATGACAGTGTGTGCAAGCTCAGAAAACAGCATTTAAAATTGAAATTAAACTAAAAAACAGCGGTGTGATTTACTAAGGTCAATGGTGATCACCACGATGAGCAGCAGCAGCTACTGTTGCTTATGATTTTCATATACTGCGCAACTTTCTTCTTCTTTTTCTTCTTTTTGTTTTGCGCTTGTGAAAATAGATTTGTTGTTGAGATGTTGTCGCCGCCGACACAGACACAGACACAGAAAGATACAAAGTTTGTCTGTCTGCCTGTTTCTTTATTTGTCTTTATCTTCGTCTCTTTACAGTTTCAGCAGCTTTGCAATCAAGTCAAAGCGGTATATAAAGCCGCCGGGGTCGACAGAAGAAGCATCATCAGCTGTCTCATTATTTAACATTTTTGATCAGTTCAGCTCCGTAAATTAAAAACACTTAACTCTGTAGCACAATGTACAAGGTAAATAGTGGTAGTGAAGTTGAGCTAAAACCAAATTTTAATTTCAAACAATCAACTCACCATATATTTAATCTTTTTTGCCACGCCCACAGGTCGCCCTTCTTTCTACTCTTTTTGCTGTGGTGGTGAACGCCTACGGCGGTGGTGGTGGTGGTAGCTACGGTAAGGGCAGTTTTCATTTATCTCTTTTAAATCATTTTAAAACTTTACACGCCCCCTTTAATTAGGAGGCGGTGGCGGAGGTGGCGGTGGCTACGGCGGTGCCAGCGGCAATCTGGCCGTGATCACCAACCAGCGAGTGTCCTACATTGACACGCCCTCCCGCGGCTACGCTCAGCCCACCAATGTCAACGTCGAGTCGCAGATGAGCCCCATCAACCTCAACTTCCAGTCCTCCAGCTCGCCCGTCAACATCAACCACCGACACAACCCCGGCCAGGGCAGCTTCCGACAGACCCAGTCCGAGGATGAGCCTCACCGGTGAGAGTCCCACTCAATAGTTTGATTGGAAAGTGCTAATCATCTCTTTTTCCTCCTTCTCAAATCTTCAAAATCAAAAATAAAAAAAATCAGACTCATCCACACCGTGACCAAGCCAAGTAATTTTTCGGGAGTTTAAGCAGGCGCTGTAAAACTAATTTAACCTTTTTTTACTTTCTTTACAGTAATTCAAGAGGTGATCGAGCGGATTGTGTAAATTACCTCTAACTAATGACTAATTAACAGGTTAATTAATGAGTTTAATTAATTACCTAGGCCTCGCCGCATCATCACCCAGCAGGTGCAGCCCGTCCAGGCAAGTGAAATGCTTACATACTTTTTCCTGTCAAGTGTTCAGGCGAGTAATCAAAATTGATTTTGTTTTGGCTTGCAGGAGGAGGTGCAGACCATTGTCGCCCGACAGGTGCAGACTGACAGTGCTCCGACTGTGCAGGCCCTGAGCATCAGCGGCGGCGGCAACCAAGGTCTGGGCGGCGGTCTCGGATTCGGAAACAACGGTCTAGGCGGCAATCTCGGCGGAACCGGAAACGGCGTTTTTCGTGGTAGACGAGGTTTGGGCGGTAATCTGGGTGGTGACGACGGTGGACGGCCTGGTCTGGGCGGCAATCTAGGAGGCTTCAGCAGAGGAGGCGGCGGCGGCGGAGGCCTAGGCCTTGGTGGAGGCCTCGCCAGCAGCAGCCTCGACGGCGGTTTGGGCGGCGGCAGCTCTGGTGACGGCGGACAAGGAGGCGGTGGAAGCGGTGGATACTAAGCAGCAACAGCCGCCAAATGCAAGTTGC